GAGAGAGAGAGTGAGAGGGCGCGCGCGAGACGCCACCCCGCGGGCCCCCGCGCCTCTTTGTATCCGGAGCGTTACGATTTATCACTGCCAGAGTGTCTACGCCCCGGCTCGCCGCGCCTCACATTCTGGTTGGGGCAGGCCAGGGTGCGGCGGGCGGGGCAGGCGGGGCGTCCGCGGGGCACCAGGGGGGCACCCTTGCGCTGACGGAGACGAGACACATACTTACCTGGCATGCAAAACGTGCGTTAAATCAGTTAGTATGAATGTTAGTAGCTAACTACATGATTAGTAAGATGGCTGAGAAAGTATCTGAGAAGGAACGATTCAGATGCGAATAGAACGCAGATTTTTTCCGGGGTTAAGTTATGGGTGGAAAAAACTGAGATCAGCGCATATGAAGTTTCCTGCTCTTGACAGTTCAGAGCACACTAACTACAGGTTAGTTTGTTAGTAAATGGTTAGTATATGGTTAGTAAATGTTAGGTGTTATTAAATGGGGTGCAGTGGCATGCAAAACGGTGAAATGTTAGAACGATTGTTAGGCTATCTACGTCGGTGCGGTGCAGTGCACTCAAATCAACAAGGGACGATCGGCGCTGCTTTTCCCGACAGTCGAGCAACAAACGTACATATACACCCCAGCAGCAGCTCGCACACAGGAGTCAATGCTGGCCGAGTAATGAATATTTAAAGGTTTCATTTCCAAACTAAACTAGAATGCTAGAAATCCCCCATAGCCAGCAGTGCGCGAAATGCAGTCTCAACAACATACAACCCCTGGTGGTGCCCACGGAAATAGCACACGCCAATCCTCCTCCCCCTGTGCAAATGCATCGTGCGCTGCATCATGCAAATTGCAAATGGTGCGCCCGCCGGAGCGGCATTACTCATTTACACCGTTATTTCCAAGACACGCCGAGTGACAGGCAGGGAAGCGCGACGAAGGTCACGGGCGGGGCGAGGGTCGCGGCCAGCCTGTCATGACCGACACTCCGCTCCGCGTGTGCAGCGACAGGAGCACTAACGTATTGACACGCCGTGTCCGATCCGAGCGCCGCGCCGCCGCGCCCGGCCGCGTCGTCGCCGAGGGGCCTCTGCCGGGGGACTTGTGGTGAAGCCCGAAGAACGGCGCGACGTGCACCTGCGCCCCATCCGTCCGAGACGCGCCGCGGCGGGCGGACGGGACGGGGGGCGTTGGCGGGGAGGTGGAGGGCGGGGGATAAGCACCGCGCCAACGACCAAACACGCGCGGCCCGTGCGTCGTGGCGCGGCGGGGCGTACGGGGCGGGCGCCTCGCGGACCGTCGCAGATTGAGCGGGAGGCCGCAAACCCGCTAGTAGCGCTGGGCGAGATTGTAGGCCTGATTGTACTGCATGCTAAACAGGATGCTCCAATAGAGCCGGGCCGAGCCGCGCCGCCGCGCCGCACCGCGCTGGTGTGATGATGATGTACACCGCGGCGTCCTGGACTGGACGCGCGGGTGGCTGCCGCGCACCCTGCACGCACCGCTGACGTCATCCTGGGCCGCGTCGCGCAGCGCAGAGAGCGCAGGTCCCCGCCAGCGTCATTGTCAAATTAGGGGGACTCGGTCGGGATGAGCGTGGAGAGCGAGCGGGGGGCAGCGGCGGGGCGGGCGCGCTTCAGATTGATTCAAAAACACGGCACGTCACCCAATTGGGACAAATGACTCTTTGGGCCCCCATGGGGAAACGGAGCAGCCGGGCGGGGCGGCTCACGAGATCACCACCGTGCGCCCCGACAACGTTAAATAAAGCAAAAATTTCGACTGAAGAACCCCGTCGCTCGCACCAGCGTGTTAATTCCAGACTCAATTAGAGCGGGGCCGCAGCACATTCGCAAGGCCCCGCCCAGCCCCACTCGGGACTGCTCTCTAATAACGGATTGTCGACGTCACTGACGACTCCATCACAATATACCTACGCGGGATGGATCCCGTCACCCTTTTTATTATTTTCCGTCATTATTTTTTCAAGTGTGACGTGGGCCTGCTCTGATGCCCAGCAAGGGGGCCTCTGGCGGGAAGCTCGGATTTGGGACGAGTCCGACTTAATTCAATCACCGGCAGGATGTGCCATATAGACACTGGGCCGCCCGCCCCACCCCGCCCCGCCACGCCGCGCCCCGGACACAGCGACATCAGAAGCACACGGCGCGTTTAAAATGACGTTCTTCCGAGTGAGGGAAAACGGATCCAGAGCGAGGCGCACATTTGTTTTTCAAACCGCGGCTTTTAGGGACGGCCCCGCCACAGAGCCGTGGAGAGGTGCCAGCTCGCGACGCGAGACGCGGCTCGGCAGGGCCCATCTCCGCCGCCGTCGCCGCCGCATAGAGACTAGCGGACGCGCAGGCTGTCGTATTCGGCCCTCCCGTGTGTTTCAATCTCGCCGTTAAGCGAGCATTGCCAAACATGGTCGAATGAAGACCATCGCGCACCACGGCGGTGCTGGGCTGGGCAAGGAGAGGCGCGGGGCGAGCGTCGCGGGGCGAAACGGCACGGGCCGTGCATACCTCGTCTCGGTCCGCGCCCCGCCGCGCCCCGCCCCGCCGCCACGCCCACTTTAACGCGCCGGTCGCGCTCGGCGGCCCCTCCTCTATACCCGCCGTTGCGCTGTCACGGCGCGTGCAAAAAGGACGAGAAACAACCCGCGCAGACAGTTCCCGAAACTCGGCTCCATAAAAACCAGAAGCGTGGCGCCTGTTCGTCGCATGGGGCGCACGGTGCTGCCGCGCGGGCGGCCCACGTGCGCCGCGGGCGAGACTCACGGAGACAAGAGACACTGCAGCCGCAGCCCCAGCCACCCCTCGCAGGGGAGGCAGCAGGACCCAACACTAATTGGCCGAGGCAGGACGAGCGCGCGGGTCACCTGGCCCTCCAAGAGAGAGAGGGAGCAGAGACAGAGAGACAGGCAGGGCGATGTGAGGGGAGGCACGGCAGTGTACAGCAGGGGCACGCACGCGGTACAGACGGGACCAGAAAACATTGAGCTGCTTGCACGGGTTGGGATGAGAGGAAACGGCACAGCGGTTCACGCTGAATGACCCCTCTTCTCCAAGGGAGCCGAAACTGGTCACTGCTGTGTTTAAAGTTACAGTAGAGAGCGACATCCCATCCCACCTAGGAAGTTAGGACCCTGGCACTTACCTTTTTCTCGGTGAGCTTCTCGCAGCGCCGCATCTTGCAGATCTGGTGGCTCTTCTCGTTGCGGCACGGCGCGCAGTCCCCGCAGTTGTCCTTGCGCTGGCAGCCGATGCACTCCCCGCACCGCTTGCGCTTCTTCTTGACGGGCTTCTCCCCCGACGAGCTCTCGCCGTCGTCCGAGCACGGGCCCTGCGTCGTGGGCGGCGCGTTGTTCTGCAGCGGCGACTTGAAGCCCGACCCGGCCGTGGACGACACGGCGGCGACCTGGCCGGACGACTCGAGGCTGCTCGAGCCCGCGCCGTCCGACTCGGCCGAGCTCTCCATGGAGGACGCACGCACTTTCCTCCGCTCCTTCTTGCGTGAGTCGAGGCCGCGCAGCCCGGCGTCCTCGAGCTTGCTGAGGTGCCCGTTCTCGTCGCACTTGTCCATCATTCCCATGGGGTTCTGGAAGTTGGTGTGGTGCAGGTGGGTGAGCTGGGTCGGCGTGGACGTCACAATAGTGACGGGCTCGCTCTTCACTAGGACAGTGGTGCCCGGGTGGCCGTGGTGGCCGGGGTGGCCCGGGTGACCGGGATGGCCAGGGTGGACCGGGTGGCCGGGGTGACCCGGGTGGCCAGGCAGGAGGGGGTGGTGGAACTGGGCCAGCTGCTGGTGCGGCAGGCCTGGGGGCGGCACACCCGGGGGTGGCACGCCCGGCGGCACGCCGCCGAACGCCAGGTGGATGTGGCGTTCGTCCATCAGCTGCTGCTGGATGGCGGGGACCTCTCGCGCCTGGACGGGCACGGGGGCGGGCACCAGAGGGTAGCCCCTGGGTACGCCGGGCACCCCGGGAACACCGGGAACGCCTGGCACCCCGGGGATGGGCACCGCCGAAAGGGTGTGGAAGCTAGGCAGGCCAGACGTGCTGCTGGGGGAGGCGGGTGCGGCGCCGGGTGGCAACGGAGCCAAGCTCTGCCCGTCCTGCTGCTGCTGTTGCTGCTGCTGCTCCGCGAAGGTGAACTGCGACTGGAAGGAGGGCAGCTTGCTCCCGGGGAAGGCGCCGGGCGGCGGCGGTCCACCGTTGGGCGGCCCGTGCGGCCCGTTGGGGTCGTCCATGGGCTTCCCCTCCCACGGCCGGTAGGTGGGCTGGTTCAAGGGGTTGTGCATGTCGCGGTCCATCAGGCGACCCGTCAGCCCCTCCCCGTAGTAGTCCCAGGGCTGGGACGGGTGGTCCAGCTGCGTGTAGGTGTGGCCGAGGCCCACGCCGTCCGCCATCTCGAACGAGCTGAAGGGCGGCAGGCCAGACGCGGCGGACACCTTCACGTCGTGCGGGTAGTCGTCGTGGACGGTAGAGGTCGGGGTGGGGACCGAGAATCCGCCCCCTCCCCCGACACCGCCATACTGGGGCCCCAGGGCGTGCCCCTGGCTCCCCGCCGCGCTCATGACCTGGTCATGGCGCTGGGGCTAGCTCGGCCAGCCTGGAAACAGAAACACAACGGGGTTAGACACGTGGGCGGCCAGGCGGAGACAGAGCGGTGCCGTACTGGCCCGGGCGCGCGCGTAAAAACGAGGAAAGTGAGGACACGACAGGACGCCGTCAGGGGAGCGGAACGCGCTGTTCGACTCGCACTGAGAGGCTGACACGCACCGCCGCGCAGCGTTTCTTGCTATTTTTGCAGCTTTAATGGTGACGCCCATTCCCTCAAAGACCCCCCCCCCTTCTTCTCCCCACTTTCCCGTTTTTTTTCCTCTCCACTTTCCCCGTCCTGGTGGTATGAAGCATGACTACGCTGCAGCTGCACTTCGCGCCCCGGGGCCGGCGCCCATAGCGAAGACCCTCCGCGCGGTGCAGGTTGTCACGGGCCGCGCGCCGGGCCGAGCAGCCAGCGGGTGCAGCACGTGGTGCGGACCGTGCTGGGCGGCGCCACACACACACTTACGTAACGGTGACTTCGAAACGGCACCGATCGATAAGCCCGGGATAAAACAAGGCGAAAACAAAGAAAGTGCACGGCGAAGCCAAATGATTCACGAGAAGCAAGGCGGGATGATACTGAGTAGCGCAGTGCGTCGCACATAGCGCGCCGGGTTTGCGTCACAACCCAATCGAGAGTGTCGTCAGTGGGCGCGCGCGGCCGCGTTCGGCGAACCGCCGATCTGGTGATCGAGGAACGGAAAAAGTAAGCGTTTTCGGGTGGCCTGGTACAGCACGGCACGCTCGCGTTGAAAAGTTCGGAGTGTCCCCTGCCAGAGACTTAGACGGGGTGCCTGCTTGGCCTTCTAAATGAACCCCCGGCCACGCCCCGCCACGCGCACGTCACGGTACCCGCCCGGTGGTAGCCGCATCGCAGGCAACGCACCTGCGGGGAGGGGAAAGGAGGGGTTGGCGGTCTATCACTGGACCCGCGGGAGGAGGGGAGGGGAGGGGGTTGCCATCCCCCTCAAAGGATTGCGCACGACCCTCACCCTACCCCACTCTGCGGCACCCTCCCTCCCCCTCCCGACACCTTGCCTCCCCCAAGCCTCCCTCGGAGCCACTTGTACTCCACACGAGTGCCACTGAGGATGTTAAGCGCCACTTCTCCCCCCGCGGCGAGGCGCCCCGGCCCTGCCCTGGCCCCGCCCTGGCCGGTCACCAACATGAATGGCGCAGGCCCCGGGCCCCGCTCCACCCGCGCTAGCTGCGGCTCTCTCAGCCGGCGGCGGCGGCGTGGCTCCGACTCTGTGGTCCACGCGGCGCGGCGGCCCGATAGTCGCGCCTTGCCAAAGATAACGCCAACGCCGGCGGGCGCGCGGGGCCGGGGCGGCCGGGCCGCGCGGAGGTTCAATGTCAATAACGTGATAGAGCATCGCCAAAGCCAGGCGCGCACACCGCCCGCCCCGGTATAAATAGCCGCGCAGCCCCAAGTACAGGTGCGTGCGCGGCGTGCAGCGGGGCGTGCGGCTCGCCCGCGACAAGCCGAGGGGCAAACCGGCAGGGGAGGCCCGCGCCGGCACGCCGGCACCGCGAGTGCGGGAGCGCGCGGAGCGAAAGCGGGCAGTACCGACTAAAAATAGGCGACGGGGCGCGCCGCGCAAGAGAATGGTGTGTGCGGCCGGGCCCGGGGGGCGAGGAGGGCTGCGGGCGGGGGCCGGGCCGGGGCCATGTTGGAGGAGTGAAGGGCGCCGCTCTCCGTTGGGGCAGGTCACGGGGGCGCGTCTGTTCCCCGCTCCGTCATCGCTGTCCAGAGGCACCTAACGATACATTGACTATACCAGGTGGCTGATTAACTCCGCGCACTTCTGTAGTTAGACTGTACCGCACGCACGAGTGCGGGCGGGTTGCCTACTCACCCGGCCCGTAAGGCGCCGTGGACAGGGGCGATTGGCAAGCCCGCCCGCACTCGTGTGTGCGGTTCAGTCTAACTACAGAAGTGCGCGGGGTTAATCAGCCACCTGGTATGAGACCACCACAGGCTTGCGCTGTTTAGTTTTATTCGGCTGTGGACTTGGACGCCCCCTCGCCCTCCCTTCCCTGGGTGACACAAGCAGCAGCAGCAGGAGCCCGGGGTTCAAGTTTGTCGGCTTATTGCGGCCGAATCCTCGACGCGCACACTACGCGCCGGAGCCGAAACTTTGCCGGCTACCAAATAATGTTGTAGATAGTTGTTTCGATTGGCGGCGACGTCGGCAGCGTCGGGTGCGGAGAAGAGCGTACTATACCGTGACACGAAAGGCACAGCGCCCTCCTCACTCGTGCAGCCGCATGGGGACAAATTTCTTTTATCGTTTCGGCTTTTCATTTTTTTCCGCAGCTCGGATTTGGATTCGTGCATGACGAGGGTCGCCGACACTTTTATTCACGGCGGCCTATACTGCCGCGACGCGTATTCAAAACAAAGCGGGAATAATGAAGAGGAAAGGGACCGGGCCGAAGTGTTTCTTGCCATTCCTGTCGCACTCTGTCGCAGCCGCCGCCTCTCCAAGGGCGCAACAGCAGCAGCAGCCGTCACCCCCGGTTCAGGGCCCGGCTGCCAGCCACCGGAAATGAGGGGGCAGGGGTGGCTGACGTCACACGTCCCGTTGCCTCGGCGGGCGCACCCTGCCTCCCGCCCCACCCCGCTGGCCCAGCCTCAGCCCAGCCCCAGGTGCTGGAGTCTCACCATAGAGGCTCCGTCGTGACGGGTCGTTGGCTGCCCCCGACTGCCAAACGGCCGCCGTCAAACCCTTGGCAAAACTGAATCCTACACTGCAAAGCACGGCAGAGAAGGCGAGGCCGACGAGCGGCAGGGTGAAAGGGGAAGGGAGGGGAGCAGTCTGCGACACGGATCACTTCCTTCTGGAAATAAAGACCCATATCCGCCCCGCGCAGTGCTGGCTCCGCAATGCAGACACCGCGCGAGAGTTAGCCTCGCGCCAGTCCTCTCCAGTATCCTCCAGGATTAACCTGGACGAGGAGCTGCGCGTTGCAGCATAGCGGCTCGGATCCGATCGGGTCGGCGCGGGTCTGGCCAGGCACAGACAGCTGGGGGCTGGTGGGGTCGGCGCGGGTCGGCCGGGGCTGGTGTGGCCCTCGCCGACCCGCGCCGACCCCCGCCGACCCCCGCCGACCCGCGCCGACTGGGGCTGGCAGAGCATCGAACATCTGCCGTGTCGGTCTGTCCGCCTGATGCCTGCCAGCCTCGCCGTCCGTTCGCCGTCTGCTCAACCCCCCGGCCGAGCCGGCCTGGCGGTTGCCAGCCTTGCCAGCCCGGCTCACCCGACTCCGGTCTGCCTGGCAGCCAGGCAGACAGGCAGACATGCAGGCAGCCAGCCTTCGGGCAGCCGGGGGTGGCAGCCAGCAGACCCGCGCCGCAACGCACCGCACACACGTAACTTTTCCAACGAAAGTGTGAATCCGAGGCGAAGGTCTGCTAGGAGGGCGTAGGTGTAAGGTGGGGTGGGGGTGGGGTGGGCACAGAGGCCAGCCCTCCTCGGGACGGCCCTGCGTTCGCTATGCCCTTTCCTGAAGTGGGGACATCAACGCACGACGTGCGTGGCCGCGCATCCAGCGCCGAGCACTCGCGACTTTTAAACAAACCGAAGCCTTATCGCCGGAAGCTCCACCAGCACTGCCTGCCCGGCCCGGCGGCCACCTCAGCTGACCAGACAGCCCAGCCCGCGGGCCCCAGGCCCGTTGCGCCACACTCCGCCCCGCCCCGGCTCTTCACGCTGGCCGCGTAACTTTCACACCTCCGCGAGCCGGGCGCTGTGTGCGCTACCACTTCCAGGGGCGGCGACGGTCTAGGTCAGGAGAACCTCTCGGCGCTACCGTGACCGTGTGCGTCATCCGGGACGGAACCAAACGCGTCGGAGGAGGCTCAGGGAAACAGGAAGACGCGGCGGAAAGTCTCATTACCGCCCGTGTTTGCTTGCGTCGGGGCGGAAAAAATGTCGTTTCAGGCTCGAATTTCTTCTCTGTCGCCAGCTGGTAGCACCGGTATAGCGGACTTTTTCATTTGCGTCGAAAGGAACATCATCATCATCGTCCTCCTCCTCGTCGCCATCATCCTCTGGAGAGCGATCAAAACTCCCTGGAACGGACCGACGCAACTCCCGGAGAGGGCTGCGGGAGTTTGAGGAGGGCGGCGGTGCTGCCGCTTGGCGGCCCGCCCGGCCCGTGTCCAGGAGGCGACGACAATCGGACCTCGGTGACCTAGCAGCCGCCCGGAAGCCATTATTGGCCAGGCCATGGCCGGGGCCGGGCCGTGGTGACCAGCTGCGAGGGAGGAAATAGTGAACGCCAGCAGGGCTGCTGGAGCAGCAGAGGATGAGGCACTCCTCGGCAAGGGCCGGTGTCCGCAGCTAGGGCGCATAGCTCAACCAGCTCAACCGACGGGGAGGAATCATCAATCGGTATCAAGTCGAACACACGATTCGTAAGGGAGGGGGGTGGGTGGGGGGCGAGGGGGAGGAAGTCAGAGAGACAGGCTTTTGTGCAACTTTTCCAAGCCGCAGCAACAACAGCGTCGGTCCCGGCCGGAACGAGCCCATTGGCCACGGTGCTGAGCGGTGCGGTCCTGTGTACGGCGCGGTGCGGCACTGGGACCGCGACCCCCCCCCCCTCCCACGCGGCAGGGGGATCAAGACAATGCAATGCATCGGAAAGTCACTGCGTTTTCCTAAAAATTAACCCCGTTTTCTGTGAAGACCCCCTGCTGGCTTATTGTCTGCGAGCCGTCTAGACTTGCGTTTACAGAGACAATTTTTTTTTCAGGGGGGTTTATTTTATTGCACCCGTCTGCGTGCTGGCTCTCCCCCGCAGACGTCTTGTAGGGCCTCTCCTCTGCGGGTCCTCCTCCTGCGCCGCCGCCGGGTGGTGTGCGCGGCGACCTTCGTCTGACCGCGGGCCAACCTCGGCGCGACCCCGACCAGACCCAGGGACCCTGTCCAGTTCTCAATGTCAGCGGCGCAGGTCTCCCCCGCCACCCGCCGCCCCCAGGACCAGCGCCCGTCGTCCTGGCCCGCCCGGGATGCGGCCAGGACGACACCTCAGTGCCATAGCGCCCCGCCCGGCCCCGCCGCTCTCCCGGCCCCACCCGCGCACCCTGCCTCTCTCCCGCCGCAGACAAAGAACATGCGTCCCGCCCCGCGCGCCAAGTCCGGCCCGGCGAGTCTGGCCCGGCCTGCGCGGGAGGCCCGTGTACCAGGTACCTGGCGCAGGGCAGAACAGGCGAGCGCGCCAACCGCTGGTCCCGGCATGGCCCGGCGGGTGGTACTCGCAATGACCGTTTAGGTGCGGCCCCCGCCCCGCCCCGCCCCGCCTGCAGTGACGCGCGCTCTCGTGAGGCAATCCGCCGCTGTGAACTCTTGAACCTGCCGGACCGATAAGGATAAGCGGTGCGATTCGCTGGCCAGGAGCGTGCAAAGCTGTGGTGAGACCTCGCACGCGTGACGTCACCGCGGGCCGCGGACCCCGGGAGGAGGGCGGTACCCGCGGGTACGTTCCGACCCCACCACCCCTGCCGCGCCCATTGCGCACCCCGCCGCTCCGGGCGGCGCGCCGGGTACCTTAACCTGGGTGCCAGAGGGTTGTCGGGAGGTTTGCTCGTGGATTCTTGAGGCGTTGCCCTGGTCTGGTGGTGGCGGCGTGCGCAGCGCGTCTCAAGAGTCCAGCTCGGTGTGCATCCTGCAGGTATTGGGTACCTCCCGTCAGAGCCGGCGTGACTCGAAGGACGCCCCCGGTCCACCCCTAGCCGTCAGACCTACCCCTTACACTCTCGCTACGAGCGTTAACCACGAGCAAACCCTCTCGGCACGAGTGGTCCTCCTGCACCACACCTTGAAGAAGACACCGGCGATAAATTACCTTTGGGTTATTTTTAATCCACCACTGGGTTGAAAACTGCTGGGCCGCCGAGGAAAAATCCAGAACTTCACCGCTGTGCGCTCTTGTCAACACTCACTGTCGTAACACACTGTCAAACTTCACTCGGCGAAACAAAATGTCACAAAATTCCGTTGGGGCGGCGCACCGCGGCGCACGCTGGTACGCACACACGAACACACACACACACGCGCGCGCGGCCGGCCCGTCCGCTGCGCTCCGCGCCCGCCTATCGTTTGGCTGGTTTGTTTTGCTCCGAGCCGAGCGGCGTCGGCTGCCTCGACTCGCCCGCCTCGCCCGGCCGTTGCGCCAGCAGCTTCGCGCCGCCGCCGCAAGAGGTCGCTCGAGAGCAGCGCGGCTGCGCTACGCCGCGCCGC